TGTGTGTGTGGGGGGGGGGTCAGTGAGTGAGGTAGACTGTCCTTCAAGCAGAGGATCCCGGTTAACCCCCCCTCACCCTCCCTCCCCAGATCTCAGCAGCAGAAACTCACCCTGCCCAAGTGCCTTTGAGCAAGACATTGAATCCCTCGCAGCTCGGGGTGCTGACCCTGCTCTGACCTCCCTGGAGGGGGGCGAGAGGAGACACCCACAGGGATCAATAGTGACCTGGCATTAGTTAGTATTGTTTTTTCTTCCTTGTATGTAATATAGCTGTATTAAAACTTTAGATAGCAAACAGAAGGCATTCCATCAGTGCCTTGCCCAAGGGGCTCACGGCAGCCCTCCTTCTCCTCCCTTTGTTTTTTTGCTCTATCAGGCAAAGCCACACTTTCCCTGGGATTTAGATGTGTGGGTAACAAGACTTGACAAGAAGAAGAGACTAAGCGGTGTTTCAGATTTCCTCCCATCCTGCCAAGAATATGCCTTGACTCAAAGTAACATTTATTTCTTTTATCAAAAAGTGTCTTTTTTTTATTTCTTTATTTCTGAAAGCTTCAACTTCCATTCCAGACCTGTCTTCTCCTCCCAGCGCCACCCAGTGGTTCGTTTGGTTACTTCTAGTTTGTTGCTCGGTTTAAGAAGCACTCTTGAGTTGGGTTTGTTTGGGGAAATCACTGCTGATGGTTGAATATATATTTTTTTAGCTGTTTTTTGAGTGATTTACATAGCTGTGCATAACTGGCTATGGACTATTTAACTTATTTATTATCTTGTGAAAAAAAGTATAGGCTACATTGGTAATTTGTGTCCATACTGTATTTATCAAGTATGATGAAGCAATAGATCTATATTCTTTTATGTTTAAATTATGATCGCCATTATTAATCTGCATAAAGTGGAGTGTATGTTCTTTTCACAGTAATATATATATATTTTGTTTTTCTCCTTTTTTTTTTTTTGTAACTTCACTTTGGTTATTTTTATTGTAAATGAGTAAAAAAAAAAAAAATCTTAATTTAAGAGAACGTATGTGATATTTATTTCATTCATTTTGTTTCCTTGTTTACGTTTATTAAACAGTTTGCGTGATTGCTGTTTGCTCCTGAGGTCGTGTGTCAGTGCTGTAGAAGGCTTTTTGTTTTGGAGGATCCCTATTTTAGATGTTTCTGTAGAATGTATAAACAGTGTGGTTGTACAGACCGTCCAAACCTTACTTCTTTTCTTTTTTTATCTAGATCAGACGTCAGTGACAAAGAACCCAAGTCAATAAATTAACCAAAAAAGTATTTTTATTTTGTTTTGTTTTCCTCTGTTTGCACGAGGTCACACTGTGATTCCAGCCACGTGCTAAAGAATGTAGCAATCCCTTGTTGCCCCAGTATTATTGTGTAGTGCCTATGGGGTTCACCATCTTCAACATGCCTTAAAATTAACCAAATAAAGTATTTTTCCTACATATGGCATCTTTTATACACAGGTTGAACTGAATGTAGTGTTTGATTTTTATTTTTTTTTAAAGGTTGTTACCACTCAGATACTCTGATTTAAAGAACAACCGTAACCTTTCTAAATTCCCATTCCTCTTATTATTTTGTTTTTGATATTGAAATCTAGTCTGAGTCTTTGAGTTTGCTGGAGAGGGAAGTGGATGAACACGTTTGGTTTGTACATAGTAGGTACAGGGGGATGCGCACTATGTACTTTTGACTACTTTATCAGAAGTAAAGCTTTTTGAATGTAACAAAAAACGGACAAAAAGACAACGAGAGTTGTAATATTTTTTTGGGGGAGTCAGTTCACTACAAATTGAGTGTGAGACTGTTAACTTTGTACTGTACATTTTTTGTAGTTCTCCCAATAAAAATCATTTTGAAAAAGCTTCAGACTGCCGGGCTCTGGTTTCTTCCTCTTCGTTGGTGTTACTCAGTGTGAAGATGTGACAGGTTTGACAGAAACACACCAGATGTTCCTGCACAGCTGTTTGGGGGACCTCGTGGTCGATGTGTAGACCCTGAGTGAACTGTATCTGGGCCCTGGTACAGTAAAGATTAGTGTTAGTCCTGAATAAACTGTAATATTACATAATGTCTGCTATAAACGGAGCGCGATGAGCGACATGTCTGCACCATCTGAGGAATGAGGACTGGAATTTTAAAATGGAAAATGTGTAGGGAGCCCAGAGCCGCAGGATAGTCACCGTAAAGTCACACGTGTGGGCGGCTCAGCCTGCGAGACCGCCGGCGTCCATCAGGAGGACATCTGTGCGTTATCTACCAGAGGAGAGTATGTATGAAGATTAGGCAGCGGTGGAGCAGGGAGTCAGATCTTTAAGCAAAAGTGCTCTGACTCCATCTGAGGGTAATTCAGTATGCAGATTAATAATAATTTACAGTTTCTGGTTGTTTTTTAGTGTTTTGGAGGTTGAGGAGCATGAAGAGAACTTTATCTACAACCTCATTCTGAATGACAATAAAATGGATGGAAGTGTTATTATAGAAGTTTGCTGGCAACAGATTGTCAGCACAACCTCGAGGTGGAATGAATTTAAATAAAGTTTTATAAAGAGTAAACGTACTCAGGGCCATGACCTACATATATTGATCCTCTGACCTTTGGCCTTCAGGTGGTTGTTTAAAGGAGATCATCTGAGGAGACTGAACTCGTGACTGCTTCTCGTAAAGCCAAAAAGGCTGGAACATTTTGAACATGTATTTTATAAAGGTTATATGTGTTTATGTAAAATCTTGAACCTGAAAGCTGTTAAATACAGCAGAACATCTCCCCACTGCAGTACTCGATGGAATATACACATCTGGATGGTCCTATATGTGACTCACTGTGAGTGTATCTCTGAGGTTGGCAGGTTGAACATCAGCCATTAACCCACAACTGATTAACTCTGCAGCTGTAAATGTGTCTACTGTCAGTCGCTGAGCAGGTAAAACAGGGACAACTCCCCGGCCTGTAGCAGGGCCAAATACAGCCCCCCCGACTGCAGTGTCATATTCGGTCATGTCTAGACCAAATAAAAAGCCCTGGCCTACATTTCAGTGTGTGCCTCCATTTCCAGGAGCCTTTCAAAGAACTGCATGGCCCTTCTGTGGAGTTATCAGTGGTGGCAAAGGCATAAAGAAAATAAAGGGCCCAGGAGTCATGTGGTGCCTGGAGTTCAAGCCAAGATAAGGCAGGCCGATAAGGGCCCCGGCAAATATTTACTGTGTGTCCTCAGGATTTCATAATGAAGTGTTTATCAGAGCAGAGCCAAGAGGGCCGCACAAAGCACCGGGGCCCCTGCCAACTAGGATCCACGTACCTGTGACTCAGTGTGTGTCAATCAACAAAACCCCACACATACGCTCTGATTGAGGGTATTAACATTCATATATGTTGTGTCTATAGAAGATGAACCTTTTCTGTATAAGTACGTAGTGTGTGTGTGTGTGTGTGTGTGTGTGTGTGTGCTGGTTAATGGATCTGGAGCTCCTACAATGAAAGGAAACACTCTCTGGCTTGTGATTAGGGCAGGAAGAGTTCCACTTCCTGGCCACCACCCATTTCCACCTCTTCTTCGTCCTGCTGTTTTTCCTCCTCTGTAGTGGCGGCTTCTGGAAGTTGCTATTTGTGTTGCGCCGCGGCACTGGGAAGCTCGGCTCGTCCTGGTATTGTTTTGGCACGCTAGGTCCAGACCCGGGGGTCAAGTAGTAACAGCACAGGCTGTTTTAAGACTTTGTTTCAGGCCTACATGGGTGCCACATGGGTGGTGGGAAGGTTGTGAATCATCATTCTGCCTTAAACACCTCCAATTAGGCTCAGATAAGGCCTTAACCTTCACTTTGATCCAACCCCGTCCCCAGGTTTTGTTTTTGTTGAGTGAAATCTGAAATCTTCCGATCTTTAATGAGGTATAACCCCCCCCCCCCGAAGACCACTGTGTCACTGCTGCCATAAATCAGTGAGGCAGTCTTTCCTCTGTGTGCTTATCTGTGATTGTCAACTATGTGACACTATTCTGGATTCACAATGAAACAATAGTGTGTGTGTGTG